GTTATCGGGATGTGAGATTTTGGTCATATCGCGCAGCCCTTTTACACTCCATGAAATGCAGACAGAGCTGATGAAAATGAAAGTGCTGTCTGACTACAAGACACACTGATGAGCACAAAGTGTCACCGAAGCAGAATCGTAAGAATCAGAGGATGAAGCAGATTATTACTCCTGCAGGGATTCAGTTTTCCATCTTAAAGGTTTTATATCCATAACACACATTTGCCCAAGAGCATGAGTGAACATTCTCCAGCCGTTTCTTTAACTTTGAGCTAAACGATAAAATATTTTCAGCTTTTTTCAATTTTATGTTTGTGTATAAAAAATATGTGTGCACAAGAAAAAAACAGTATAATAAAAAAAAAATGCAAAAGAGAAAAACACTCCACACAACATAACAGAGGGAGACACGCCACAGCTAAAACGCCTCCACACACGTCAATGCAGAATTTTCTAACACTGCAGTTTGTTGGTCCCCAGACGACCTCCAGCACGACACGTCGATGGAACAAGGACGTAGACCGCTCGCTGTACGGCTCGCGTGAATATGCCTCCAAGAACCCCGCCCTGAGTCCCATCACCGAGAGGCTGTCCTTCATCACTCAGTCTCCAACAGCACAGGAGACTCGTTCAATCAGCTGTACGGGTAAAAAAAAGTTGCCAGTGTGTGATTTAGCCTGTGGTTGGAGACGGTATCAATGTCTGGATGTCAAACTTTATTTTAGTCCCTAAAAAATGAGAACCTTTGGATTCAGGGGAAACCGGCAGAGATTTTTCCTGAGATTTTTCTTTTGTCCTCATTTTTCTTCACAGCTCCAGATCAGGAAACCCAGCTGAATCCTGAGGTAACTAATGAAACTCAAGTGATACACGACCTCGCTGTGACAAATGCCTCAGAAGCCACTGTAGAAGATTCTGTCACATCGCCCAGCTTGAGTGAAAAAAGTGCCGCCGGGCAGGACAGCAGGCTGTTGGGGGTGAGGGTCAGAGGAAGACGCCTGAAGAAAAGGAAGGTCAGTATCCCTGACAGTCACCTGACCAGAGGAGAGACACAGCAGCAGCTCTATGAAGAGCAAACCACTACAAGCCTTGAGCTATCAACAAGAACCCCTTCTGTACATGAAGAGAGACAAGAAGACACTGTAGAACTTTGTGCCCAGACCTCTGCAGATACATCCTGCACAGAGTCAGAATGTCACGTGAGTGCACATGTACCTACTTCAGACTGCCCGAACAACACCGAGCCAGCACAAGGGAAAGCCAAGCGCGGCAGGAGGAGCTCTGTAAGCAGCTCAGTGACAGCAGAGCAGGAGAACTGTGTAAAGAAGCACCAAACCAGCTGTGAAGAGGAGGAGGAGGAAAGACAGGGAGACCGAGCAGCAAGCTCACAGGAAAACATCCAGTCAAGCTCTGATAGCCAGGAAGAGGGGGAAACAGCTCATGTGGACCTTGCTCCCTGGCAAGCTGACTTTAATTTTGAGGATGTGTTTAAACCAGTTTGCACTAGAGGGCAGCGCTCAGTGCGCCGCAGCCTGAGAAACCAGAGCAAAGCTGAGAACAGCAGCAGTGCAGGGCTCACCTGGCTGCCTCGTACTTCTCCCGAGTCCAGCAAAGAGACCCGCAGGAGGACCCGGGGCCGTCGGCTCAGTGCTGCTCTGCCCAGCCAGCCTTCACTCACTGAGGAGGCAGGAGATGCCTCCTGAGACCATTTAGCTAACTTAATGAACTGAGATTAAGAGGGAATAAAAAATACATTGATTACACCTCCACACGCCACTGATTCCCCAAAAGAGGAGACTGATTGTTTCACACTTAGCTAAAACATTGATTTTTTTTTTCTTTTGTTTCTTTCTCTGTGAATTATTAGAGATGACCAGCAATTTGTGAGTGGTTTCCCTCCAGTAACTAAGCTAGTCAATATGCTGAGAGCTCAATCATCTCTGCTGACCACCTAATCAATATCGTGGCACTCAGCTGGTAATCACAGTGCATCTTCAGTCTGCCTCTACAAAGTCACTGGATCAGGCAATGAAGTCAATATCTGCTCCTGAGGCTGGATGAAGATGGCTGCGTCGCATTCACCAAATGTGTCAGCCAAAGGCAGGCGGCCTTTACACAGAGAACTTAAATGAATGTGCTCAAGTAATTCTGCTCAATTGTGATTGGTGGTTGTTGTTTTTTTAATGATCTAAACAGTTGTGGTTAGTGAAATGTCAAACTGTACCTTACAAGCATCTGCTTCTAACTACATATATTGCCTCCATGTAAAGATGGCACATTAGAACAAACTGTGTTCATTTAAAAGGATGCTTTAGATTCATTTAGAGCAAATTAATCCAGATAATAAAGCAGCCGCTTGTCTCCACAAACGCGACGTTCCAGCTGTGTGTGGTCACTCGAGTTCAAGTGCAGCAGCTTTCCCTTTAGCATAAACCGTCCTGTTCTGTATTTTAAACATGGCCAAATGCCTGAAAGTAAATTGACCTCTAACCTCCACCAAAGTTCCAGCGGTTATTGATTTTTAAAATCTGTTGCTCGGTACCGGCTCCATCCATCTGTCACAGAGGCCAGTAACAAATTGAGTTTCAGATTCAGTTCACATAGGAAAATTGGCTCGCAGAATGATGCATGACTGTAATCTATCCATCACTGAGTAATTGACTGCCTCCTTTTACATCAAGTCAGTCACTTGGCTGAAGGACGACAGAGGTTTTTGGCCCCCCTAGTGATCTGCCAAGGCCTTTTTCTGCTCTCTATTCCCACCGGAAGACAGATGGACAAAATCATAAACCCACTAATGTAATGTTGTGTGGCTGCAGCGGGGCCACACTGCCATCTGGTGGCACTCTTGGAGAATTGCTGCTTATTGATGTGCCGCTCCTGGGAGGGTGCGTCAGGAAATGATGCTACTGTCAAGAGTGGGAATAATATAAATGTGTGGAAGTTCAGCTTTATGGATGGCTGCTTGGAGAGAGAAAAAACACACAGACTAGGCTCGTGTGTGTGTGTGTGCGTTTTTTCTGCTCGACTGTGACACTGTGTGTTTGTCTGCTCTTGTCTCTTAAAACTTGTATCATCTTTGTAAATGTGCAGTTTATAGAGTTGAAGCCAAACTGCTGCACCTCTATAATATGAGTGGGTGTTGGGTGTGTTGTCTGTGAGAGAGAGCACGGGAGTATGTGTGTATGTGAGGGGTGTGAAGCCCCTGTCCCTGGCAGACGGGCATACTGAAGGCGGCTTAACACAAGAACAATGGGGTCCTTTGACCAAAACGACACCCCCAAGACATGTGGCCTCCTGTCACCGTGGCAACCCCCCATGGGACAGAGAGCGGGATGACAGCTGGAGAGGAGGACTTAC